GTAACCGTTCATGAGCCAAATACTGCCATTGTCTGCTTCATTTTGTAGTTTTTTTAATCTATCTGCATCTACTGTTTCCATTATTGTGTAAAACTCTGTTTTATATCAGCAAGAACTAACAAGAGTAGTCTTTCCTTGCAGACATTACTGGAAGCAGGTAGCTCTACCGTTGGCCCCTGGATAGAAGGCTCTGTGGTTCAAATTTGGCTCAACTCTATGGTACTCATTTTTTATTCCTTTGAGCTCTTTCCATTCTGTTGCGGCACTCAACAACATTGACAAGAATGTCAACGCATATTTAACCAGTCGAGATTATGGGGTGATTTAACATGATAAACGGCAATATCTCTAGTCTAGATGCTCATAACAAGTAGGTCCGTTTCTTCATGCCATGTTGAGACAAACCACGTTAATTCTCACATTTTCTTGCCTTGCTGGCTGATACACATCTCGCATTACTTTTGCTTAGCTTCATATGAAGAGGGTATTTTAGAAATTAAAAATTGCAGGTAAAGCTTTTACTATTTCTTGTGGGCAAAAATGGGAATAACATTGTTGTTGTATCTGGGGTAGCTCTCAGACAATTCTCTATTTGGGTCTTGTAGTGGCTGATAGTTGCAATGCATCATCATCATTGTAGATTAGGACGAAAAAGATACCATACTTTAAGGGAATCTACATTTCTTCGCAGCTGAGATATCTTGTAGAATTCGAAAACCCCAATTAAGGTAAAAGAACCTTATCTGGTTTCCTTGTGTCCCTACATTTAACTAGTTTGAATTTTGAAATCGGAAGTCAAAACCCAATTCACCTCAATTTCTTCCGAGCAATATACATACCAGTTTCAGGAATAATATGAGGTATTTTTCTTTTTATTTTGCAGTTAAAATGGTGTCCTGAACCAATTTATGTACATTAGAAATCGTCAACCTCAGATACGATCCAAGGCAAGTGGCTAACATCAGAACTAGGGTATTTGTAAAGAAATATCTCCTCTTCATCAGCTTCTCAAATATCATATCTTAGTCTACAAGATGGGAAGCAAACTTGTATATCATAGCAACTAGGCCATTCCCTTACATTGACATGAACCCTACTCATCATTTAGTGTAAGTTAAAGCAGAATATCCAACTGATCAACCAATTCTGAAGTTGGATGTAAGTGAAGAATGCATAATCAATCAGATCAGAGCATTCTAAGCGTAAGAACAATCCCCTAAGAACACAGAGCCTCACCCTATATTATTAAATATGCAGTGTTTTGTAATAAAAAAAGCAGCTAACATTTTTTTTTTTTTTTTTTGATACACCAAATGTTAAGCTATATAAAAGAAGATAGCCTTCCCATTCTCAAACCCCTCTCCATCTGTCTCAAGATTTGAACTCAAAATCTCTGACATAGTGGCTTAAGCTCTAACTTATATGACATATCCTAAGGGATAAAGCAGCTAATGGTCGTAGTTTACTTATAATTCTTCTCTTTTCTTTGTTTTGATTATGTGAATAACCATGACAATGATAGTGATAAGAAAGCTTGATCCTCCAACCACTAATGGAGCACACAGCTTACACCTTTTCTTCAGCTTCTTTTTCCTCTGACTTGCTTCTTCACTTACTCCTTTATCTCTTCCCAATTCTGAAGGTACATCCTTTTCTTCTTTGATTTCATCTTCAATTTCTTCTGCTTCCTCTTGTTCAGATGTAATCGATTCATCCGAAGGAAGGTCTGTAACCGGAGTTTCTGCTTGCTTTAGCTCTTCTTCAGTTTCAGGTTGGAAAGGTTCTTGAGGCTCTTTTTCTAGCATTTCTTCTTCAGCTTGAGTTGATGGTGGATTTGGTAACTCTCCCTGTTGAGTCTCTTGATCTTTTACTTCTGCTACTTCCTCTGCCTCTGGATGTCTTTCTTTATCATCTGGAGGTTCTTCAGTTTGCTTTTCAGTTTGTTCTTCTTCAACTGATGTCAATTCTGACTCCTGTGGCTCATCTGTATTCCTCTCCTGTTCGACTTTCTCAGGCTCAATAGTTTCTGTATCTGGATATGCTATCGGAATAACAGGATGTTCTTCCTCTTCTGCTGTTTCTTCTACTTTCTCCAAAATCTGTCCTTCAGGTTCTTCTCCAGCACTCTCATCAATTTCATATTGAGGTGTCCTGGATTCCTCTTTCTCCACTTTCTCCTCTACAACTTCACCAATTTCTTCATTTTCTTCTTTCTCAGATTCTTCTGGTTCCATCTCCCTACTTTCCTGAATCTCCTCGGGTCTCTCTTGTTCAATTTCTTCATTGCTTTGAATCTCATTCTCAATGATTCCTTCCTGTGGTGGTGCCTCTTCTTTTGGTGCGTCTTCCTGAACTGCCTCGTTGGGTTCTTCTACTGCCTCCTTTGGTCCCTCTACTGCCTCCTTGGGTTCTTCTATGGCCTCCTTGTGTTCCTCCACTGCATCCTTGGGTTCTTTTACTACCTCCTGATGTCCCTCGACTGCCTCCTTGGGTTCCTCTACTGCATCCATGGTTTCCTTTACTAGCTTGAGTTCTTCTACCACCTCTTTGTTTCCCTCAACTGCCTCCTTGGGTTCTTCTACTGCCTTCTTGTGTTCCTCTGCTGCCTTCTTTGGTTTCTCTGCTGCATCCTTGGGGCATCATGTTTCCTCAGTCAACAGTTTGAAAAATCTCTTCCCTCAACGCCATTTTCAAACCGCAACAAACCCTAAAAATCCTCTTAGGGAGAGAATTGGAGACAGTGATTCAGAGGTGTAAGAGGAAGTCAATGCGTGACTCTCTCTTTCTCTATTCTTATCTTCTCCTCCATTGACAAACATGCCGATGGAGGTTCGGAGGAGTTAAAAAATGTAATGGAAGTTAGGTTGACTATAGCTACGATTTCGCCCTGCCAGTACCGGTATGACTACCTAATATTCAGTATAACCAGAGCCAGAAATGTGGGGACGGACCGGAGATAATTTGTGATTTTGGAGAAAGTGCAGATGGAGTTGAGAGCGGGACACAGAGGAAGGGATATAAATTGGGTACAGGAGGAAGGAGTGCGGAGTCGAGTGAAAGACTGTAAATGACTCTGTTTCTTAGAGTTCCCGCGGTGAGAAATTACTAATGTTGGTTCCTGTTTTTTTGTTTGGTTCCTCATCTTCCTCTGGTGGTAGGCTGACTACAGACCTTTTGTGGTTAAATTACGTGATTGCTGGCGATAGTACCCGGTGAAGCTAGGAATCAATAGCAGATAGAGTCAATTAAGGAATGTCTCTATCTGACCAGCAACAGTGAAATTAGGTCATGGTTTCTTGTGCACTGGGGCGTGGCATCAAAAGTGGCAAAAATGAGCGCAAATGGGGCATCATGTTTAGCTTTACTCCTTGCACTTTTTATGACGTCAAAAGGAATACTCGCAGCCTTAAGGTGTCTTTTTTTTTTTTTTTTTTGGAACAAATTGTTAAGCACGGGTTCGAAATCACCCATGAAAAAAAAGAGAATGCATCTAAAATTGACAAAGTGTAAATTGGTCCGAAGGGTAAGGTGGCAGCCTTAAGGTGTCTTAATTACTAAAGATTTTATACATTAAATATCTTATATTGAAAACTTAAATCAACAAATTAAAATTTAAAAATTATCAAAAAAATATAATTTAATATATAACTTATTTTTAAATATCCTCAACATGTACTTGGATCTTTGATCCAGTGACTTAAATCACAGATAAATATATTTTTCCTTTTCAAAATGACAGTTTGAATTTGACGCTTACAAATTTATTCAAATATATATATATATATATCCCCAACACGAAATAAACTGAATTTTTTTCTCTCATAAAGAAGAAAATT